ACTAAGTAGCAACAAGTTCAATAGCAAGTTGAAACAAAGCTGCTTTTGGTTAGGTCGGTAGGATCTGGGAGATGCGGCAGCCGCCAATACTGTCGCACGTGTGAAAGGATCGCGAATTAATAATTAGAGAAGATTCCCGTTAGCTGTACAACATGTAACATGTACAAACGTAGAAACGTATAATAGCGTCGCTAGCTGTGCAACACGTACAAACATCGGCGATGCGGTATCTTTGCATGCATGGTACGTACATCACACGGTTGGTCTCCGTTGGTACATGGTACGCGTTGAACAGCCTAATGTAGGGCACATCGTACAGCAATAGTCGCAATCACGCAGCAACCGCGAAACGTGTTCAGCGTGTATTAACATCTCCGAAATCGTAACCGTAATCGTGTGGTGGTAATCGTCGAGAACATATCGCTTTTTAAAATTTTTTTTGTCGTCGACAAACCCTACGTAATGCGTAACCTCGCGTACGTGTATCGTACACATAGTGCAAAACCAGACATGTAAAAACAGAGCATGTATCTTTATCTTTATCTCGCCGTTTCGTTCAACACGAATCTTAATTTTCATTGCATTCGTCAATAGAATATCTACGTGTATTATTCCAGTTTGTAAATAATCTGCAACCCTCGCGTCGACACTCACGCGTGCACGCGTACACAGGCACACGTAAGTACGTACAACGCATGCACGTATAACGCGCGTTTCTTCTTACACGTTTTTTTGTGAGAGAGTTACGAATAAAAAGTTGTTCAAATTGTTGTAATACAGTTTACAATTCTCCGAGTATATACTTGCATGTATCGTTTAGTACGTATCGTATTTGCATGCGTATTACGCTAGATATAGATGTGTGTGTGTGTGTGTGTGTGTGTGTGTGTACATAAACTCGTTGGTCGTTGATATTCCTCGATCAACGTCGACGAACAACGTGCATCGAAATCAAAATTAAACGAAACTCGTTCGCTCGACAAATCGAATCCTGCGATTCACCGAATTAAGCAATCAGCTCGCATACGTTTTTCGTCGGCACCGTTAAACCCTGTCATAGATTTGGGTCGTAAGTAACAATGTGATTTTTTTTCTCTTCTTTCGTGTCTCTCTGTCCATTGATTTTTTTTCTTTTTTCTTTCTTATTTTTTTTATCATCATCGTCCTATCTTTTGTCGTCCTATCGTTTTACAGATATATACTATCGTTCTCAATACTTCCTTTCCTCCATCCCTCGGATTCAATCACAATTTCCTATTTGTTTCATCGTTCGATGGATTCTGTTGGTTTCTCTCTAATAATAAAATTGAAGGTCAGTTGAAGAAAAGTGAAAAGAGAAGGAAATAAAACTGTAGATGAAAATTAAATAGAATATGAGAAGATAGATAACGTACGTACGTATGTACGTGTGCAAGTGATGGATAGCATTAGCATCTGTGGTATTGAACATCGGGGGTTTGAAACTATGCTTTTTCACCTAAACGAAGAAAACTAGACAAGTAACTAGGATTTGTCGTCGTAACGCGAAATTTGCGCGCTTTGCGAAATTATCGTAATTGCAAAGGAGAATTGCAAAGGGAGAAGAAGGTACGAACGAAGATACTAACTCTCGTTAGTTTTTTTAGTTTAGTTTTTCCTAGAATCGAGAGAGAGTCCTGCTCGACGACTCTAAAAGTGTTCAAGCTGAAACGAATGTAAAGCAGAGGAAAGGAAATTTCTCCTTTTCGTATTTAAGTATTTACCCATTGTACCTGGTAGTGGTACATTGTCAAAGTAGTAGTTGGACACGAGCAATGACGAGGAAGAAATTTATTCGAGCATTAGAAAGATTATTGATCGTAACACGTGTAAATGTATGTAGGTAAATGAAATAAATACCTGTGATTTATGGTAGACACGTTGTTTGCTTGGTCAAGGTGCGTTGGTCATCAGAGAACGGTCGTTGCACCCTAAGTGGGATAATTTCGATGGGCACTGATTTAACAGGCTGTAAAACTACAGCATGATTACTACACAGCGTACGACGACACCATAGATTCTTCGTTGTTGCCGGAAATCCAATCTAGCTTCACCATTTACCAGTCTCTTTTCAGTTTCTCTGCGAAATCGCCGATTTTCCTTCCTTGTTAAATGCTTCTCTCTAACAAATGCTCCTCGTCCTCACGCACACGAGTCTTTGCACTCGTCTGTGGCAAATAAATTTTCCTGCTAATCCTTTATTATAATTTATCCGTGAATCATA